CAGCCATGTGTTCAGCCATCTCCAGGAAAGAAGCGATCCAGCGTATGTAATGGTTACTTGGGAAGACAAAAACCATATCTCCAAGCGTCCCCGTCTTCCTTTTTCTTCCCCAAGAATTAGATACTGAGCATGATGTCACATGGCATGGAAGAGCCCTTGGTGGGTTGCAGTCAGCTGTTCCAGATGTATCCCCTCCCAACTTCTTGTGCACTGCCAGCCTACTCCCCGGCAGGGCGGTAGGCGGAGCAGAAAAGGCCTTGAGTGCTCAGCACAACCAAGAACATTTCACCAACACTATTTTCATCCCAAATCCAAATCATAGCACTATACCAACTGCTAGCAAGAAAGTCAACTCCATCCCAGATGAAACCATGACACTCATTGATGACAGTGTTAGTGATATCAGATACTACTGCGACAGATATGAATGGATCAGGTGCAATAATATTTCTAAGGAAAAACATATTGAGCTGAAGGAACTGAAATTACATGGTACCACAATTGTGTGCCTAACAGGGTAACTATGACAAGCAGGGAATTGACCATCAGTTCTGCTACAGCCCCCTGCCAACAGACCTTCCCCAATTCTTCCCTCCAGACCTACACAACTGGCAGGTTTGCTTCTGACCCTCAGAATTACCAAAAACATATCACAAGGATATAATGCACCACAATCACACCAAAAAAGGAATCTCCTCCCCTCTTTTATCACATGCTACATTCCACACTCATAACCTCACATCTCCTGCCTTCCACAAAATCTGTAGCATGAGCAAGAGGCACTAATCACAGAATCACAGAATCATGGAACAGTCAGGGTTGGAAGGGACCTCTGGAGATCATCTAGTCCAACCCCCCTGCCAAAGCAGGGTCACCCCCAACAGGTTTCACAACCTGTTGCACAACAGGTTGTGTCCAGAGTGGGAGACTCCACAGCCTCCCTGGGCAGACTGTGCCAGTACTCTACCACCCTCAAATAAAGAAATTCCTCCTCATTTTTAGATGGAACTTCCTTTGTTCAAGTTTATACTGTTACCTCTTGTCCTGTCACTGGGCACCACTGAAAAAAGACTGTAACCAACCCCCTGGTGCCCTCCCTTGCAGTATTTTTAAGCATTGGCCTTCTTGACCACCAGGGCACATTGCTGTCTCATGGTCATCCTGTTGTCCACCAGGACTCCCAGGTCCCTTTCCACAGAATCGCTCTCCAGGAGGTCAGCAGCTACACGTGGCGATATAAAGGTATGCCACTACTTTGAACTAAACCTACATACATAGGAAACCAGGAAGAGAAAAAAAAAAATTAACCAGAAAGGCAAGGAAATGTTAAAGTCTCATCAGGGAAAGATACTGGGAAGTCTTCTTATTCTTACCTTAAGCCTTGTTATCACTGCGGTTTCAAGAACACGTGCAAGCCTAAAGTCTTCCTCTGGACAACATAGTAGGGGGCGTCATTTTAAGAAAGAGTCATCAGCTATTGTCCATTTTTTTCTGCTATTTTTTTCTGGTCATCTACTTATAAATATGAATTCGTAAGTGTAAGCACTTATCATAGGCCTCTTTCTCAAGTTAAGTCATCCTAGGCTATCTTCAGCTGCCTGACGGCTTAACAGGGATAGGTATTGCTGCAAAACCACACTCACACTTTCAAAAGTGAAAGTAATATCCAGACATGTTGAAGTGAAGTGTGGCTTTGCAAGAAACAAAGGCCTGAAAAAAAGTGTAATTCTGTCTATGAAGAAACTCTACATCACAACGTTCCAATGAAATATGGATGGATAAAGGAGCTTTCACACAGGAATTATGAGCCTTCTACCCATGCATCATTGTTCTATATGCACGTTTATTGTGCAAATACTTTATGCTTGGAGGACCGGCATCATCATTCAGGACAGGGAATCCAGGGTAAAAAAAAAAAAAGGCACAGGACTCAGCACCAGGCATGAAAAACATGTCAAAAACATGTTAAAAAAAACATTGAACGACCTATTTTCATGGTTCAGAGCAAGCCTCTTACCCTCCTTGCTCTGCATTCACAGCCGTTATGTGCACCACAGACAATATTCTATATTTTGGCTAAACGCCAGCCACAGGCAAAAGAACATTTAATTAAGTGACATAGTAGCTAAACAGAGGTCTATCAAAGTCTTAATCTTCACAGCTGAACACCTTCAAGGTATGGATGGAAACTGTTTCCCCAGCCCAGCAAATACAAGAAGTCTTTCAATGTCTTAAGGGTTACCAGCCACAGTGAGAAGCAGATTCAGACCTGGACCAAAAAAAACCCAAACAAACCACACCCAAAGAAAAACCAAGGTGAGAATCGGAAACCAGAAGCAGTGAAGGAATCAGAGCTTTACGTTTCAGATTATGTCTGGTATACAGATGATGTGCCAGGTAGGTCAGATTAGAAGGTACACACAAGAACGGTATCTAGTTAATAAAAAGTCCACAGGAGGCTCACACAGGAGCTCACACCAAAGACCAGAGCCACAGTTCCTCAAGGTAGTTGCCTTGGACACGAAAAAAGAGGAAAATGCATGGAACCACAACTGTGGGCCTCATCTAACAACTAGGACCAACTGAACTTTTACACCATCTTTACATCTTTCAGACATTTCAAATTAGACCCCAGAAATAATTTTCATATGCCCTGGCTCTGGACAGACAGTATTTTTCACCCTGCCCCAACATCACACAACACAAAAGCAACTTTTGCAGACAGATACCATTGAAAGTAAAGCTGCACGCACAACTTCACCTTACGGAGAACAAGGCTCCCTACCTGGACATATGCAAAGAGATTTCTCTATTTATCACACTCATTTGACAAAATGTCAAATGTTCTCAAGGGCAAAAGCGATACGCAACTCCAATAAAGACCCAGTGGTCAAAGTATCAACTCAAAGATACCATCCCCCAACCACAGCACATTGGGCAATTTGGAAGACTCTCAAACCTTAACCAAAAAAACTCAAAAAACCAAGACACCTCCAGTCCAATTTTACGCAGTCCAGAACTGAAAACTGATATTCCAAATTTGGAAATACACTCCATTGAAAGAAATACGGCACATGCAACTTCTCCTTACCATTCATAGTATTTGACTTCTCTCCGTGTCTATGTGACAAGACAGAGCATTTCTTTCAGTGACAGTTTAAAACAAACACGTGTCTGTGGAAGTCTTCGTATTTACAGATGTAAACATGAAAGTTACATATGGGACAGTCAGAAAAATACATCATATTAAATATTCCACAGATCCAGAAAGCTGACATATGCCCAGATCATTTCCCTTCACTATGCACCAGGATCACCCACGGACTTCACATAGATATCTCCTCATCTCTGTAGGAAGACAAAGATACATTGTCTGCTCACTACACCTCACAGAAGAAACAACAAGGATCTAAAAGTAAAAGAGGAGTGTTTCTACGAGAGAGATTGGCTCAGTGAACAGAATCTAACACAGAAACGACACGATAAAAACACGAAGTGCCACTCTAACAAAGCTCAAGCCAACAGCAGCCCCACTTCTCCCACACCAAGTGCAACATTGAGACCAAGAACTCAATCTTCCGAGAGGAAGAGGTGTGGACTTCCTTGCAACTAAACCACGCTATGGGGGACGCAGAATAAAAGAAGTGGGAAAGGGCAGAGAAGCAGGAGAGGGAAGCGTCTTGGAGCACGCGTGGTGCGAGGAACTCACCGGGGGAGCGTCGGGGTCGGGGTCGGGTTCGGCGCGGCGGGCGGCGGCAGGGTCCTCCCCGAGCAGCGGCGCGGGCTCGTCGGGCGGCGGGCGGGCCGGCAGGGTGTCGCAGCAGCTGCCGCCCGAGAAGCGGAGCTGGCTCTTGCGCGAGTCGGCCGTGAGCGACACCTCGTGCGAGTAGGAGTGCAGGAAGGCGCGGACGCCGTCGATGCCCACGAAGTGCGAG